TATATATATATATAGATATAGATATATATATCATGCATATATTATATGTATATAATAAAGTATGAGAGAGTTGTAAACATTAATTAAAAGATATTGTAATGACGTTTGATGAAAAAAATCATTTATATGATAGAAAACGTCAAAAATCGTGTTAAGTGTACATATATTGAGCTTAAATATAAACATACAATACATGTAAGTAAACTATATATATATATAGATATAGATATATATATCATGCATATATTATATGTATATAATAAAGTATGAGAGAGTTGTAAACATTAATTAAAAGATATTGTAATGACGTTTGATGAAAAAAATCATTTATATGATAGAAAACGTCAAAAATCGTGTTAAGTGTACATATATTGAGCTTAAATATAAACATACAATACATGTAAGTAAACTAAACTTATACCTAGGTAAATCCACACATATGAACTTGAATCTTTAACGCTTGATTGTTGTGTGTTGAAATACCTGTAAAGAGAAACATAAACACAAAGCTAGAGGATATATTAGCGATAAATTATTTGACAAATCATTATCAAAACTATAGGGTCAACATGAACACCAAAGACCAGCTAGTTTAGTCCAAAATTTAGATATACCAATGTGAAAATAGAAAAAGATCACCATGGGTTTTATCATAGGACTTCCCAAAACTTTAAAAAAGAATGATGCGATATGAGTGATTGTTGACCGACTGACTAAGTCAGTGCACATTTTACCTATCAATATGAAATTTTTATTAGAAAAGCTGACTAAACTATACATCAATGAGATAGTGAGGTTACATGGAGTGCTCATATCAATAGTGTCGATGGAGACCCTAAGTTCACATCAGAATATTAGAAAAGTAAGAGCTTTGTAGACTAAACTAAATTTTAGCTCAGCTTACCATCAACAGACGGACGGCCAATCAAAAAGGACAATTCAAACACTAGAAGATATGTTGAGATGTTGCGTTCTGGAAATTAAAGGATTGTAGGAAGATTATCTTCCCTTGGCTGAATTTGCATAGAATAACAGCTATCAGACTAGTATTCAATGGCACCATATGAACTTCTTTATGAAAGAAAGTGCAGGTCTCCTACCTATTGGGATGATGTTTGAGGAAAAAAACTTCTCAGACCAGAATTGGTACAACA